CAAATTACAACAAAATGAGGCAAATATGCCAGGCCATCACACAGCCAGCTGTTTTCTAAGAGTTCTTTGTCAGAATGTAAACAAATGGACGGTGCTGCCACCTAGCAAAGCTCCATAGTGCTAACATTTAAAGTTTCCAGATGCATAGCGCTAGTAGTCTCGTTTACAAAAAATAAAATGTCTCGCGTTACAAATTACTACTAACATTACTAACACCGTGCAGCAAAGAAGTCAAAAATTCCGTTACATAAATGTAACACTGTGCTTGAAAGAGTTAGGCCTGGCGCTTAGGCCTAGCGCCTCACAAGCCTATTACGGTCGATTTTTTCGATCGGCCGATAAAAAAATCTGCCAAAAATAAATCGCCCTTGATTTATGTCTAGGCGCACACTTGGCGATTTTTTAGTGGAGAAATGGTTTTTTTGAGTGCGTTTAAGCTATACTAAAATGGACTTTGTTGAATTAACCTGTGTTTGTGCTCTTCTAATTAGATCAAAGAAAAAAAGAAGACAACTTAAATATTGGGTTCATCCGATAGTAAGTCAGATACTTTTAAATCGATAGTTTTATAAACTATACACTTTACCGTGATGACAGTAAAAAGTTCTTTAAGAATGTCTGTTGAAAGTTTCAGTTTTTATTATAAGAGCTGTGGCCTTTTTTAGCAAAGAAAACAACACAACTCACACTGAAGTACTGAAGTTCACTGACTTCTGTAGAGAACAACAAGCGACTGGCCGATTTTTTAGTCGACCGTGTGCGCGGACTGATAACAACCTGTACGTTACAGATTTTCGGGCGACAATCGCCTCGCCTACGAATCTGTGGCAAAACCCAGATTTTAAAATCGGCGCAATTCTCGATCGCCTGTGTGCGCGCTTCCATTCAAATACATGATGCACAGATCGGCCGATGAATAGTCGCCTCAAAATAATCGCTCGTGTGCGCCTAGCGTGTCAGACGTCCCATAAGATAACATGGCAGACAGGTGACATCAGCTCATTAATTCGCACTTTATTGATTTAAATCCTATATTCTAATATGAGCAATGTTTGCTTGTATGCTTGCTTGCACAAAAATCTCGAAAACGGCTCCGACGATTTTTTTCAAATGTTGTAAATAGTTTATTCCTGGCCTAAAAACAAGTTTGCTGCAGTTAGAACTGCCAACAAAAATCTAATTACGTAGAAAAATGAAACTGAAAGTCACATTTTTTTAACATTAGTCTTATGGGTTGCTAAGTAACCATGTTGGTTGAATCAAAGATTACATATGCTACGCGTTGAATTAACAAGGAAAAAGTAAACAAAAGACTTTAAGTTGTAACACATGTGTTCATAAAGGCATCTAATCACAGTATACTAGAAATTACAAAATAAAGTACAAAAGCAAAAACATCACTTGTTATTATTGAGCAATGATTATACTGAAGCTTACTCGATACATTGTAGTAAAGGCAAGTTAGCAGTGCGGAGTGTGGGATCTGTTATGACGATTAGATTAAGGTAGATTTCCCATTCTTATGGAACAGCTAATATGTTTTATCTGTGGCTGAAGCCAATTTTATTGTTAGTTCTGTCCGGTTTTCTGTAGATGTCGTGCTTTGTTTACAATTTGTTTATTGTTATTTCAGTAATTTAAAACCCCGTTTAACCAAATAATACTATTTAATCATAAACGATAACTCGTTCACTTTATTACCGTGCTATATTACTATATTACTATCGTTGGCTATATAACCAAACAGTATGACACAAATAATGAGAAACTAACCCTAAAATAATAGTAACAAATTGTAAACAAAACACGACATCTACAGAAAACCAGACAGAACTAACATTAAAAGTGGCTTCAGCTGTTCCATAAGGATGGTAAGGTATCTGCAATTCTAAAATGCTATGGGGAGGTAAGGAAAAAGGTCCGTGACGTAGGAAGTGGTAGAGGAAATACTGTAATAAAGGTGAGCGGTCCGGAGTGTGGGAACTGTTTATGACGATTAGATTAAGGTATCTACAATCCTAAAATGCTATGGGAAGGGAGGAAAACAGGTCCGCGACGTAGGAAGTGGTGAAGGAAGTAGTAAAGGCGAGCAGTCCGGAGTGTGGGAACTGTTAATGACGATTAGATTAAGGTATCTAAAATCTTAAAATGCTATGGGAAGGGAGGAAAACAGGTCAGTGACGTAGGAAATGATGATGGAAGTAGTAAAGGTGAGCAGTCTGGAGTGTGAGAACTGTTTATGACAATTAGATTAATGTATCTACAATCCTAAAATGCCATGGGAAGGGAGGGAAACAGGTCCGCGACGTAGGAAGTGATGAAGGAAGTAGTAAAGGCGAGCAGTCCGGAGTGTGGGAACTGTTTATGACGATTAGATTAAGGTATCTGCAATTCTAAAATGCTATGGGAAGTTAAGGAAACAGGTCCGTGACGTAGGAAGTGGTAAAGGAAATACTGTAATAAAGGTGAGCGGTCCGGATGAGTGTGGGAACTGTTTATGACGATTAGATTAAAGGTATCTACAATCCTAATAAATCCTATGGGAAGGGAGGGAAACAGGTCCGCGACGTAGGAAGTGGTGAAGGAAGTAGTAAAGGCGAGCAGTCCGGAGTGTGGGAACTGTTAATGACGATTAGATTAAGGTATATATAATCTTAAAATGCTATGGGAAGGGAGGAAAACAGGTTCGAGATGTAGGAAGTGGTGAAGGAAGTAGTCAATGCGAGCAGTCCGGAGTGTGGGAACCGTTTATTAGGATTAGATTAAGGTATCTGCAATCTTAAAATGCAATGGGAAGGGAGGGAAACAGGTCCGCGACGTAGGAAAAGGTGAAGGATAAGGCGATCAGTGTGGAGTCTGGGAACTAGAAACCAATTGTAACAGTTAGATTTATGTATCTGCAATTGAAATACTGAAATGCTATGAGAAGGGATGGAAACATGTCCATGACGTAGGAAATGGTGAAGGAAGTAGTAAAGGCTGGCATAACAGAGTGGGGGAATGATTTTCCCCGAGCAAAGCTTGGTTCCCAGGTACTTTATGAAAACAAATTTACTTAAATAATGAAAATAAAACATACAGAATTGAAAACCAAAACAATATGATTTGAAAATTTATCTGTACATTTAAAGCGGAGTACATATTTTCACAGTCCAGTAACTAAGCTTTCGTAAATACACACAAGTACCATTAGCTGATTCCAAACAAAACAGCTGTTACAACCCTACTTGCAACGTTTTTCCACTTCGAAGGCCGTGGCCCGGAGTTAAAGGCGGTCAAGGAGTTGACTGGGGTGACTGAGGGTGCTGGGTGACCGTGACTGTACTCGCAATAATCTATTAAGATAGATTAAGGTTAGGAGTAGCATAGATAAAACATGTTAGTCTATGGGTTTAGTAACTTATATGTTTTATCTAAGCTATAATCCAGATTCTTTCTACCATAGATGAAGTAATGTAATATGGTGTTTATTTATTCTATGCTTCTACCATGCAGATTACCTATATGGTGCGTTATTATGAGTTATGAGACCAAAACCGCACATTTCATAACAACTGGGTATGTTTTCCGTTTGGTTGGTAGCATCGTTGTTTATTTGGATATTTTTAAAAATTTCAAGTAAGTTTAATTCAAGTTGTTGACGTTGTTGTCAGTTAGTTGTCGTTGTTGAAGTTGAAGATTTGAGCAGTGTTGCCAAAAAGCGGGTAATTACCCGAAAAGCGGGTAATTTAGTTACCTGGGGGTAATGCTGCGGGTAATGGCAAATAGGCGGGTAAAAAGCGGGTAAATGACAACTGATCAAATATTATTTGTTTTTCGTATTATTACTTTTATATTTCACTAAAAGAAAAATATTTCCCTGTTTTTTTTCATTAAAGTAATTTCATAGACTTTTTATTGTTTTACACTACTTCTCTTAACCTTCATCAGTTTGGTTCAGTTCTCACTCAGTCACTAGTAGGCTACAGCGTTCAGTCGGTTCGGTTCGGTTCAGTTTCAGTAAGTACGGTTTTTTGTAGTATTTTCTTTTGGATTGGAGTGGAAAAACTTTTGGGTTGCCTGGCCTTAATTTAATGCCTGATACCATGGTGGAACTAGTCTCTAGTCTACTTCTAAAGAGGATGAAAAACATAAAACAGGGGAATAATAATATTGATTGGTTATAATAACTATATTTTCTCCCTATAACTAATAAAAAATTAAATTTTTAACAGTACTTACTCATTACTAAATAATTATATCACATAGGCTATCATAAAAAAAACCAAATCATTGTAGGCCTAAGTAACTTAATGTAATTATTTTTTTAAGGTCAGTAAGATTGAAAATTTCATTATGAAGGTTAATTACAAGTCTCAAGTCCTATATTTAGTTCTTTACATCTTAATTTGTGGGATTACTCAAAACATAGAGGATACGCGTCCGGTAACCGGACGTGGATAAGGCGTACGGCAATGACGTCATGGGGTTGCGGGAGCCTGGAACGCCTTTACCACAACAATACAATGACCAGCCATCGGTGTTCGTGGTGTAGTGGATAAGGTGCTCGGCTGATATGCAAGAGGTCCAGGGTTCGAATCCAATTGATGACTTTAACTTTTTGTCGAAGAGTTTGCATTGAATACCATTTATTCTTAACTGTACATCTTTTATTAGAATTTTTGGCATTTATAATTTTTTTTATAGAGAAAGAATTTCACTTTAATTCGATTTTTTCACTATCAGCAAGTTTGGTTGGTTAGGTTAGGTTATGACAGTAATTGCCGGACGTCTAATCCACGTCCGGTTACCGGACGCGTATCCTCTGCCTACTCAAAAACTAATTTATCAGGTTTTGTATTCGTTACTTTTAGAGACAGGCAAGAGTGTTAAAAGGGAATTTTTGGTTTGTTGAGGGTAATTTTGAGAAAAAGCGGGTAATTCTTTGCTCTGGAGGGGGTAATTGGGCCATATTGGATTGGCAACACTGGATTTGAGTATGAGACAATGAGACATGAGAATGAATAGATTGATCGAGGGGTTCTAATTTCTAAAACTAAAATCCTACAAAATTAAAACGTATTAATTTATTTGATTCTTTCTTTCTGACCCACGATTAATGGTACATTAAGAATATTAGTGTAGCGAGTGACAAGCAATTTATTACAGTCAAAATTAAACTTAATAGCAGCTAAGTTTACCGGTAACCGGTAAGTAAAAATTAATTTTAAGTGCCTCAGAAGAAACCTAATTTGAAGTTAGATTGGTCAATTTCTCTAAATAAATTGGGCCTACGTAACTTAGTACATCAACAAGCTATTTCACTCATGAATAGGCCTAGGCCTACATCAATTTGTACACATGTTAACTTGTGTGAACCTGGCAATAACTTGGCAATAAGTAGTACGCCCGCCCGCTAAAATCTATTGCTGGCCGCTTTGCGGCAAAATGCGACCGCGTAACATGAAACCGATGATGTCACCAGATAGAGGACAGTTTAACGGACACAACAGTATCAATATCATGTACCTGGGGAATAAGAAAGGGGGGGTAAAGTCAGCAATAAGTAGTGGGCGCGCCTGAAAAAATCTATTCCCGGCCGAATTGCGGAAAAATACGTCCGCGAGCAATAATAACGACGATGCCAACAGATAGAGGAAACTTCAAAGGACACGACAGTATCAACATCATGTACCTGGGGAGTAATTTAGGGGGGTAAAACCAGCAATAAGTAGTGGGCGCGCCCGAAAAAATCTATTCCCGGCCGTATTGCGGAAAAATACGTCCGCGAGCAATAATAACGACGATGCCAACAGATAGAGGACACTTCAACGGACACGACAGTATCAACATCATGTACCTGGGGAGTAATATAAGGGGGGTAAAACCAGCAATAAGTTGTGCGCGTGCCCTTTCAAATCTATTGCTGGCCGTATTGCAGAGAAATACGTCCGCGAGCAATAATAATGACGACGCCAACAGATAGAGGACACTTCAACGGACACGACAGTATCAACATCATGTACCTGGGGAGTAATATAAGGGGGGTAAAACCAGCAATAAGTTGTGCGCGCGCCCTTTCAAATCTATTGCTGGCCGTATTGCGGAGAAATACGTCCGCGAGCAATAATAACGACGACGCCAACAGATAGAGGACACTTCAACGGACACGACAGTATCAACATCATGTACCTGGGGAGTAATTTAGGGAGGGTAAAACCAGCAATAAGTAGTGCGCGCGCCCGATAAAATCTATTGCTGGCCGTATTGCCGAAAAATACGTCCGCAAGCAATATTAACAATGATGCCAACAGATAGAGGACACTTCAACGGACACGGCAGTATCAACATCATGTACCTGGGGAGTAATATAAGGGGGGTAAAACCAGCAATAAGTAGTGGGCGCGCCCGAAAAAATCTATTCCCGGCCGTATTGCAGAAAAATACGTCCGCGAGCAATAATAACGACGATGCCAAAAGATAGAGGACACTTCAACGGACACGACAGTATCAACATCATGTACCTGGGGAGTAATATAAGGGGGGTAAAACCAGCAATAAGTTGTGCGCGCGCCCTTTCAAATCTATTGCTGGCCGTATTGCGGAGAAATACGTCCGCGAGCAATAATAACTGCGACGCCAACAGATAGAGGACACTTCAACGGACACGACAGTATCAACATCATGTACCTGGGGAGTAATATAAGGGGGGTAAAACCAGCAATAAGTAGTGGGCGCGCCCGAAAAAATCTATTCCTGGCCGTATTGCGGAAAAATACGTCCGCGAGCAATAATAACGACGATGCCAACAGATAGAGGACACTTCAACGGACACGACAGTATCAACATCATGTACCTGGGGAGTAATATAAGGGGGGTAAAACCAGCAATAAGTTGTGCGCGCGCCCTTTCAAATCTATTGCTGGCCGTATTGCGGAGAAATACGTCCGCGAGCAATAATAACGACGACGCCAACAGATAGAGGACACTTCAACGGACACGACAGTATCAACATCATGTACCTGGGGAGTAATTTAGGGGGGGGGGGGTAAAACCAGCAATAAGTAGTGCGCGCGCCCGATAAAATCTATTGCTGGCCGTATTGCCGAAAAATACGTCCGCAAGCAATATTAACAATGATGCCAACAGATAGAGGACACTTCAACGGACACGGCAGTATCAACATCATGTACCTGGGAAGTAATTTAGGGGGGGGGGGGTAAAACCAGCAATAAGTAGTGGGCGCGCCCGAAAAAATCTATTCCCGGCCGTATTGCGGAAAAATACGTCCGCGAGCCATAATAACGACGATGCCAAAAGATAGAGGACACTTCAACGGACACGACAGTATCAACATCATGTACCTGGGGAGTAATATAAGGGGGGTAAAACTAGCAATAAGTTGTGCGCGCGCCCTTTCAAATCTATTGCTGGCCGTATTGCGGAGAAATACGTCCGCGAGCAATAATAACGATGACGCTAACAGATAGAGGACACTTCAACGGACACGACAGTATCAACATCATGTACCTGGGGAGTAATATAAGGGGGGTAAAACCAGCAATAAGTAGTGGGCGCGCCCGAAAAAATCTATTCCTGGCCGTATTGCGGAAAAATACGTCCGCGAGCAATAATAACGACGATGCCAACAGATAGAGGACACTTCAACGGACACGACAGTATCAACATCATGTACCTGGGGAGTAATATAAGGGGGGTAAAACCAGCAATAAGTTGTGCGCGCGCCCTTTCAAATCTATTGCTGGCCGTATTGCGGAGAAATACGTCCGCGAGCAATAATAACGACGACGCCAACAGATAGAGGACACTTCAACGGACACGACAGTATCAACATCATGTACCTGGGGAGTAATTTAGGGGGGGGGGGTAAAACCAGCAATAAGTAGTGCGCGCGCCCGATAAAATCTATTGCTGGCCGTATTGCCGAAAAATACGTCCGCAAGCAATATTAACAATGATGCCAACAGATAGAGGACACTTCAACGGACACGACAGTATCAACATCATGTACCTGGGGAGTAATTTAGGGGGGGGGGGTAAAACCAGCAATAAGTAGTGCGCGCGCCCGATAAAATCTATTGCTGGCCGTATTGCCGAAAAATACGTCCGCAAGCAATATTAACAATGATGCCAACAGATAGAGGACACTTCAACGGACACGGCAGTATCAACATCATGTACCTGGGAAGTAATTTAGGGGGGGGGGGGGTAAAACCAGCAATAAGTAGTGGGCGCGCCCGAAAAAATCTATTCCCGGCCGTATTGCGGAAAAATACGTCCGCGAGCAATAATAACGACGATGCCAAAAGATAGAGGACACTTCAACGGACACGACAGTATCAACATCATGTACCTGGGGAGTAATATAAGGGGGGTAAAACTAGCAATAAGTTGTGCGCGCGCCCTTTCAAATCTATTGCTGGCCGTATTGCGGAGAAATACGTCCGCGAGCAATAATAACGATGACGCTAACAGATAGAGGACACTTCAACGGACACGACAGTATCAACATCATGTACCTGGGGAGTAATATAAGGGGGGTAAAACCAGCAATAAGTAGTGGGCGCGCCCGAAAAAATCTATTCCTGGCCGTATTGCGGAAAAATACGTCCGCGAGCAATAATAACGACGATGCCAACAGATAGAGGACACTTCAACGGACACGACAGTATCAACATCATGTACCTGGGGAGTAATATAAGGGGGGTAAAACCAGCAATAAGTTGTGCGCGCGCCCTTTCAAATCTATTGCTGGCCGTATTGCGGAGAAATACGTCCGCGAGCAATAATAACGACGACGCCAACAGATAGAGGACACTTCAACGGACACGACAGTATCAACATCATGTACCTGGGGAGTAATTTAGGGGGGGGGGGGGTAAAACCAGCAATAAGTAGTGCGCGCGCCCGATAAAATCTATTGCTGGCCGTATTGCCGAAAAATACGTCCGCAAGCAATATTAACAATGATGCCAACAGATAGAGGACACTTCAACGGACACGACAGTATCAACATCATGTACCTGGGAAGTAATTTAGGGGGGGGGTAAAACCAGCAATAAGTAGTGGGCGCGCCCAAAAAAATCTATTCCCGGCCGTATTGCGGAAAAATACGTCCGCGAGCAATAATAACGACGATGCCAAAAGATAGAGGACACTTAAACGGACACGACAGTATCAACATCATGTACCTGGGGAGTAATATAAGGGGGGTAAAACTAGCAATAAGTTGTGCGCGCGCCCTTTCAAATCTATTGCTGGCCGTATTGCGGAGAAATACGTCCGCGAGCAATAATAACGATGACGCTAACAGATAGAGCACACTTCAACGGACACGACAGTATCAACTTCATGTACCTGGGGAGTAATTTAGGGGGGTAAAACCAGCAATAAGTAGTGCGCGCGCCCGATAAAATCTATTGCTGGCCGTATTGCCGAAAAATACGTCCGCAAGCAATATTAACAATGATGCCAACAGATAGAGGACACTTCAACGGACACGACAGTGTCAATATCATGTACCTGGGGAGTAATATAGGGGGGGTAAAACCAGCAATAAGTTGTGCGCGCGCCCTTTCAAATCTATTGCTGGCCGTATTGCGGAAAAATACGTCTGCGAGCAATAATAACGACGATGCCAACAGATAGAGGACACTTCAACGGACACGACAGTATCAACATCATGTACCTAGGGAGTAATATAAGGGGGGTAAAACCAGCAATAAGTTGTGCGCGCGCCCTTTCAAATCTATTGCTGGCCGTATTGCGGAGAAATACGTCCGCGAGCAATAATAACGACGACGCCAACAGATAGAGGACACTTCAACGGACACGACAGTATCAACTTCATGTACCTAGGGAGTAATTTAGGGGGGGGGGGTAAAACCAGCAATAAGTTATTGCTCGCGGACGTATTTTTCGGCAATACGGCCAGCAATAGATTTTATCGGGCGCGCGCACAACTTATTGCTGGTTTTACCCCCCTATATTACTCCCCAAGTACATGATATTGACACTGTTTTGTCCGTTGAAGTGTCCTCTATCTGTTGGCGTCGTAGTTATTATTGCTCGCGGACGTATTTTTCCGCAATACGGCCGGGAATGGATGTTTTCGGGCGCGCCCACTACTTATTGCTGGTTTTACCCCCCCCCCCCTAAATTACTCCCCAGGTTCATGATGTTGATACTGTCGTGTCCGTTGAAGTGTCCTCTATCTGTTGGCATCGTCGTTATTATTGCTCGCGGACGTATTTTTCCGCAATACGGCCAGCAATAGATTTGAAAGGGCGCGCGCACAACTTATTGCTGGTTTTTCCCCCCCTATATTACTCCCCAGGTACATGATATTGACACTGTCGTGTCCGTTGAAGTGTCCTCTATCTGTTGGCGTCGTCATTATTATTGCTCGCGGACGTATTTCTCCGCAATACGGCCAGCAATAGATTTGAAAGGGCACGCGCACAACTTATTGCTGGTTTTACCCCCCTTATATTACTCCCCAGGTACATGATGTTGATACTGTCGTGTCCGTTGAAGTGTCCTCTATCTGTTGGCATCGTCGTTATTTTTGCTCGCGGACGTATTTTTCCGCAATACGGCCGGGAATAGATTTTTTCGGGCGCGCCCACTACTTATTGCTGGTTTTACCCCCCCTAAATTACTCCCCAGGTACATGATGTTGATACTGTCGTGTCCGTTGAAGTGTCCTCTATCTGTTGGCATCGTCGTTATTATTGCTTGCGGACGTATTTTTCCGCAATACGGCCGGCAATAGATTTTTTCGGGCGCGCCCACTACTTATTGCTGACTTTACCCCCCCTTTCTTATTCCCCAGGTACATGATATTGATACTGTTGTGTCCGTTAAACTGTCCTTTATCTGGTGACATCATCGGTTTCATGTTACGCGGTCGCATTTTGCCGCAAAACGGCCAGCAATAGATTTTTTCGGGCGCGCGCACTACTTATGGCTGGAGTTATTGCCAGGTTCACACCAATCACATGTTACCCATCAAAACAAAATTAAACAAGCAAACTGTTTTTGCTTCTTACTGAATCTAATCGCTTAAAAGGTAAAAGAATTGTCTGAAAAATATGGGTGATCAATTCAACAAACTTTGAAAGCCTAGGCTACCTACCGTTAAAAGTTGTATCAGTGTAGGCCCTAAGTTAACTTTATCCATGACACTTATGGGTAGGCCTAATGGAACTCAACTTAGCTTATAAGTCCGTACTGGGTAGGCGTGATACTTATAGCCTAGGCCTATGTTATAAAAAATATATACCTAACATTTCTTTCCTTATCTATGTACGCTAACTTACCAAAATTAGGCAATTTTTAGCACCTATGGGGGAAACGACTATTCACCCTGAAAGTCTCGTTTGAACATCGTCAAAAGCGCTAGAAGTCAACAATTTTTGGCACTTGAAATTTTTTTTTTTTTGTAGCCTTCGTGCTTTTTTTAGCCTATTATTTAAGTTAACCCTAGGCCATTTTAAACACTTTTTCAGCAAATGCCGTCTGTGTGTTTTTACCCAGAAAACCAGGTTTGAAAAGTCGTAAAAAAAATAGCAAAGTACCGAAAATGACCGATTTTAGGTTACTTAGCAAAGTGCCGAAAATGACAGATTTTGAGTAAACCAAGGTTAGGTTATTTTAGGTTAAGTTAGGTTTTTTAAGTTAGTATTCAGTTATTGACACTTAGGCCTACCGGTCAAATGAGCCGATACTTTAGTTAGGTTAGTAATTTATAACACTCCATGATTTTCAGACACATTTTGTGGGGTAAAATAAGTTAGGTTAACTTAGGTGTTTGCCCAAAAAAGTGCAAGAGGAAAAAAGGGGTTTTCAAATGGGCCTTAACTTAACTTAATAGCCTAAAATACCATTGAAAGTAAAATAAAGTTTTTGCAATTTCTAAAACTTAACTTAACCCTCCGAGTGTTATGTGTCGTAAAAGCGACTCATAACACATCCGCTGTAGGCTGTAGTGTTATGTGTCGCTTTTGCGACTCACAAACACTGTTTACGGCGACGGCTCTGGGACTGACTGAATCGGATTGAACTGGATCGAGTTAGGTATCGTTTTTTTCAGCAGATTCGGAGCTTTCTCCTGATGTCTGTTTCTATACGCTTTTCATTTTAGTTCCAAAAATATTGTAGCAGTCAGCTGACGTGCGTATTTGTAAACAGCTTGGTTTAACTTTGCACCGATGACTGATGTGTTTTATTACATTATCATTGTTTTAGTGTTCAAAATCAAAAGTAGTGATATACGTGGTGCATTATAAGAAGATTTACCTAAGTGATTTTGAAGGGCTGGTTGATGATCCTGAAGAAGTAGGTACCTACTTATTTTAAAATATTTGTATACCTATAAATTATATCAATTTATTGAGCGCAAACATAAATTTTTTTCATTTATTTTATAATTTTTGAGAAATGTAAACCCCACAAAAATTGTTGAACATTTTTTTGTAATGTTTTATATGTTACATTGATGCCCATAATTTTCCAAACAAAATGATATATAAAACAGTATACTTTACATTGTTTTTAAGTTTCTAAGATACATTTTAATAAAACCCTGCGATTGCGCAATAAATGGGCGAACATTAAGACCAAAACTAGAGACACTTGGAGGGTTAAGTTACATAGCACTTTTCTCGATGTTCAAATGTGATTTTAAGGGTGAAATTACTTAGTCGTTTTCCCCAAAAGTGCCAAAGAAAAAAGTCCTTAAAATAGCCTAATATTGGTAGATAGGCATAAGGAAAAAAGGTTCTGAATTACCAAATTGTGTCTTAGGCTATTTTAAAACTGGCCTAAGAACCAAATGTACAAATCGCATGTTAACTTATCTTAATAAGTTAGTAAGTTGATAAGTACTCACACTTACGTGAGTTTCAAATCAAATCAGTAAAAAAGGTGGCCTAATGTACATGTGCAAGTTTGTGAAGATGGTTTAAATTTTTTCTAACTATGTGAAGCCTAAGCCCTAACTTAATGTAGAAAAAATTAATGCATAAACTGCCAATATTTTCCAGAAACATGTATGAATCCAACAGTGAGTGCGACCCTTCGCTTCTAAGACGCCTTACTGGACACCGTGGAGAGATCACAGGGTTGTCTTTTCACCCAAACTCCACGCAATTAGTCTCTAGCAGCACAGATACAAACCTAATTTTATGGAATTTAAAGAAACACGCCCATGCCATCAAATTTGAAAGTCACTCCGACCAAGTAACTGATGTCTGCTTTCTACATAATGCTAAGGCATTTGCTTCTTCATCGAAAGATCGGACATTGCGTCTTTGGACACCTTCAGTGAGTAAAATTTCAAGTTATCCATCTATATATGTATATCTATATTTGAACTTTTGAGAAAACCATAAGCCGTACACCTATCAACCGCTTAGGCTACTTGAACAAAAGGCCTTGATCTGAAACTTCCCCGAAAAATATCAGTTTTTCGATAAACCCTCTGCTAAAGGCAGAAACCTCAATTAAAGGACTGTTCTATTTTTAATCACATTTAAAATAGTAGGCTACTGAAGATAGGTAGGCCTACATCAGCTGCTAGCGTTGTTTTTGGATTTGTTTGTTTGTTTACTTCTCCTTAAGTTAACCTTTTGATTCTACCTTATTTGATTCTACCTTTTATGAGTTTTGCAAGTGTGGTTTTTATTTTATTTTCTATGAATGGAGCAAACAGGAAAAAACAAATCATATAACTGTTGCAATTTTTTAGTTGGTTACTCTTACTTAGTATTAGTTTATTTGACTTTTTCCATACATGTGTCATGTTTACGGAAATAAAGCATTTCATTTCATTTCATTTAGATACCTAACTAATCGTAGGCCTATTCTGAATCGGTATGAAAAGCGAACCGAGCTGCTAGGCTCACCATCCATTGGTTAAAATTATGCTATATAAGTGTAATAAAGTCAAATAATTTATTTTCGAGTAGACCTACTATAGAGGCAGTAGAGTTTAAAGAGTGCTGCTATACTATAGAATTAATATTATAGACTGAGCCGTTACGCCCGTCACCTATCAGTTCAATTTACGTTATTAGGAGAATAAAGTAAAGTAATTTAACTTATTTAAGGTAGGCTACTATAGATAGAGACAGTCCCTTATGGACATGAGCTCTTTCACCCTATAACCAAATTAGGCCTACTTTCTAAATAAAGCTAACCAATCTCGTGTGTGGTTTAACAACTTTAGTTTACAACTTTCGTAGCCTATATTCGACAATAGAGAATATAACCAAAAGCAGTTACAACAATAATCGTGGTAGTTATAATAATAACAATATATTTAATAGGTACCAGTAACTTATACTTACTACTGAGGTCCACCAATGGGGACGATAACTAAGTTTTATTATTACCTATTTCAATAGGTTTTTTGGACCAGAGCGGGTGTAGGGCTATTAGGGAAGTTAACAGAGAGAAGAGGCTAGTCTTGCACCGACCGTTAGAATGGATCTTGTTTGTGGTTCTTGGAGGTCTCTCACTCCTACCCTTTTGGATGAACACTGTCGGTATCAGCGTTTCCCACTCAAATTCAAACATAGCTCCAATTCAGGACCTTACAATGTAAACTAGAGGGTGACATCGGCTGCACACCTTTGGGTTGAAAAAAATAGCAATGTTGAAAAGCTTAGCACATTTAAACATGACTCCATTATCTCTTGTTGTAGACTGTTGAAAAGGTCTTACTTTTAAAAACATATTGTAATTCCTATACCAGATCAACAATTTGCCAATTAACTAGTTTTTGTAACACAGCTAGCTATGTGAATCGGTATTTAGCTTTTACTTATATATTTCTTCATAAATCTATCCAAACCAAGCACAAGTTACTTAAAAAATGTTTTCTACCATAGTAAGCTTATAGATGTTTTCGGTCAATGTAAAAATGTGCTTTAACTTAAGTTAGTACAAGAATCTTTACTCAGTTATAAACGTTTATATTTTTCAGATTAAACATAAAAGAAAAGTTATCACGGCTCATACATCATCAGTTCGATCAGTTCATATCTCAGCTGACGATTCACATTTACTAAGTGCATCTAACGACAAAAATATCAAGATGTGGATGTGTGAATACAACAATAAGTAAGTCAAAGGCTAAATATATTTTAAAACTTATTATTTGATTTTATTATTATTATTGGATAGTGTCCTTTATTTTTGATAGCAAGCAAAATTAAACTAGGTGTCATCTTTCATTAATTGACGTTGAAGCTTTCAGCGAATTTATATATTTAGCAATTTAGCACACCTCAGGTATTAGTCATACCTTTTTTGTAGTAGCAAACCTAAGTACTCTCTTAACATAAGGTTATTAGGGAATGGATCTGACTTACCGGTACTTTAGTAAAGAAATATTTTTTAACAAAAATCCAACTAGGCAAGTGGAAAGCTGCTAAGTATGCAAAGTTCTTGCTGCCGCAAGGGGTGGGGTATTTAATATTTGAGGCTTGTATTTATAACAAAGGGTTGTTGCTATCATTGTGAGAAGTAGGGTGATAAATGACAAGAAGAGTGCAAGTTACGTATAAATGCAGTTTCACCAAATTTGATTGTTTTGGGACAAAATTTACCAAAATTAAAAGTATGCTTAGCCTACTAGTGTTTTCAAAATACACACATACATACACATGAGATTCTTGCAGTGCAAAGAGGTTAACTTTTTGATTGCTTAGAATTTATTTCACCTTTTAAACACATAAAAATATATTTCATTCTTACTGTCTTCGCAATTAGAGGCGATACTGCACTACAGCCGTTTCTGAAATTACTCCATCTTTAGGTGCATAGTGGTAGTTCTACACATATCTCCGAAATGACCGTAGTGCAGTGTCACCCCTGATTGCAAAGGTGGTAAGAATTAAATATTTTTTTATTTATTTTTTCACACTCAAGACTCTTTCAGACATTGCTCTGTTCATTCAAATGGCTAATTCATGGCCGAAATAGACCTATTGTTTAAAAATAAGCATTAATTACCCATTTGTTTTTGTTTCAATAATAAATTTTATTACAATAGATTATTTGCAAACTCTTGCCATTTAAGAAATACTGCACACTACTTACTAAGGGCCGGTTTCGGAGCTCGGGACTAACGCTATTCCTGGACTAAAATCCAGTTCAAACCAGTTTTTATTCTAGGACTAAAAAATCGGGTTTCGGAGCTCGAGGATTACGCTAGTCAACGACTAAGTCTATTCCGAGAGTTAACTAGTCCCTGACTTACTCTCATGGGTTTCGGAGTCACGGGTTACTTAATCCTCGAATTAAATGTTATTCGATCGGGTTTCGGAGCCAAATATTTAATCCACAACTGGGCAACAAAGACTAACTCGAGGAATAAATATGGGCAATTTTTAGTCCAGGCGAAGGGCAGGATTAAGGGGCGGACTAACTTAACTTTTGGTGTAATTACTCAATTTGTGAAGTTGTACCTGTATAAATGCCAAATTCTTAATCGGCATAAAATTTACTTGCAATTTCATACCTCTTGATATTTTTTCGTAAAATTTTATTTTTCTCTTAAGTATAAGCAAACCCATCTTTGAATGAAACCCGTTTATCTACAATTTATGCTTAAGACTATAATAGGCCAAACGGTCCCTAAAATTAATATTATAAGGTACTAAACGTAGAATTTAAAATAACAATATAACGATGAAAGAAAGAAAAACTTAACTGTATGAAAAAATTAATGTAGGGCCTATCAAATCTAAATACGTATTTAATACGCTTGGTACATAATGTTACGTAGGGTTACATGCATTAAAATGGTCCATTTAACGAGTTTTTGGGGACGTCGGTTTTACCGAAAAACCCGTTATCCGGACTGGCCTCGGTCCAGAGGAGTCCGGATAGTCTACTGTAATGCAATATTTTACTAAAGAATACTTTTAACCAAAACTAACAGTATGCATAACAAAACAAGACTTATGTATTAGTATTATTTTCAATTGAAACTCATACCTAGTATAATAATTTGGAATTTGGGTAAAAAAAAAAATATATATTTCAGCCGTGAGCTAACTCGGACAACCTGGATTCTCAGATAACCGGAGCTCAGATGATTGGAAGTTAACTGAAGTTGCTTGGACACCTAATTATTCTCTACTACACATTGTACTTCCAGAGGAATTGTTAAAATACAAAACAATCAGAGAACACAAATACATTCTAAGCAGATAAATTATAACTAGGCCTACTCTTAAATTGTTGTAATAATGATAATTTTTTTACGGTTGATTTTCATACAAAGAATAATAAAATACTAGAGAACCCGTGCGGCTCAATGAGCCGCATAGTATGAAACATAACGCCGAGGAAAACCTTATGCTTAAATTCGAGTAACTTTAGTTACATCTTAGAGTTGTTTGAAAACTTGCTAGAAACTAATTTTAAATATTTCTATTGGCATCGTCAATGTTCACCTACATTAATTCTGCTCTCAGTTTTAACTGATAACTTCTAATGAATACAAAACTATCTGCCTCAATTAGAGTTAACATGTTGCAACAAAGTTTTTCCAGCATTGAGAATTGAAGAACACTGTTACCTTACTGATAACCTGTCTTAAGTAATTAAAGTTGGGTCATTTCATTTCTTTGATTTGAGACATTCCCCTGATCAAATGAATTTTCTCCGTAGAGTAACCTAAAAAGTGGGGTGATGTCAACCATTTCATGTGCTCCATTTTTTACCCACAAACTCTGGGTTACCAACTGGACAGCTATAATCTGCTTTGAATAGGCTAAAGCAGCAACACCATTGAAAGTTGGTTAACGTAATTTAACGTGTTGTCTGTCAGTCACGGTATATGCCCCGCATCTGGGTTCTATTATCACGTTGTTCAGTGGAGTTTCTCTTAATACCTGTCCTAAAGTTCTGAAAGTATGTATACATTTGTTGAAATAGGTTGGATAACTCTTGTAGCTATAATATTTGGATAGCAATTTTAATTTTCTCTTTTTGAACAGCGTATATTGTTTGCCTCTCCGGAATCATAAAAATAAACTTGACTGTAACTACTCGATCGTTCAATACTTACACACTAATTCCTTCACTTATGTATGGTCTAATATTGCCACTAAAACTTTCAATAGCAAATGAGTTTTTGAAACTTATTATTTTTTACTTGAAATTTCTTGATTGTGTTGGTGAATTCAGTCAAAAACGTTGTATAAGTTTGTCCGAGGAACTGGCAACACAACATAGTAGTAAACAATCCATTTACGTTTTTTTCTCAATTGAAGTAGAGCGAGTAATACAAAAGTTTACGATAAAACATAAGGTCCGCCAAGATTTGGTATAGTCTTACTACTTGAACTTAATATAGTCAAGGCATTATTGTAGTTTCTACTAAATGTTTTGAAATATCTCAATCTGTCAGTGTCTGAAGTAAACATTTCTTGCATGCACTCATTTGATCTGACATTAGGCAAGTTAACTTTCCCACCGTGGCAACACTATATGAGCTTCATATATTTTTTCACTTCCAAAGTAAGTCGCAAAGCAGAACTGGCAATTCGTATTCATCTTACCAAGTGAATGTGTATCTGGATGGGAATCTGTTAGACCAGGCCTCTCTTTTTCTACTCTCCTCATACGCGCAATATATCTTATTATTAATTGTGTACTCCTTCCGTGTTCAATATTTCTTCTTTGAACTTGAGGCATTTTCTGTTCTTCCAACAAAACTGATTAACTGTTTAACTTGGTCTTAACCTACTGAATATACAAACATCAATATTTACTCCCAAAAAGCTAATGAGTTTCTTTTTATAAACAGCTGTTATTTGTTTTTAAATTTGTTCAATGTATTTCTTATGGGGAAAACCCGACCTTTGAGAGGGTCTCACGCCCTTAAGAGCAGGAATTTTAAAATTCTAAAACCTTATTGCAAAACTACATATTGAGATGAATCTTTTGACACCTCAAACGTTGAAATTGGTCCACAAATAAGGGAGGAGTTGCGTTAACAAAAAACGGCTTCACGTATTATATATATAGACAACCAATCTCTAATATCTCAAATGCCTACAGTTTTTAGATTCTCATAAAAAATAACTTGGACAAAGTAAAGGCATATACTAATACATTTGACACCTTATTCTTCAATCGGGAAGTTTTTTTTTTGTTATCAAACTTAACAGCAATAAATAAACCTTCAGTTTTTTTTATTTTTTTATTTTTTTTTTTTTTTATGATGGTTCCCATAACAGGGTTTTTATTTCGGCATTCGTTTTTGAACACGATCTCTTCTTTTAGTTACCATCTTCAGTGAAACTCAAGGAATCATTATCCCAACTGATAAGTGATTAGAACCAGACTAGACAGTAGACGCTAGTGTCGCTATGAGCGCTGTCCGTGAACAACTTTGGCAGGTATCGTCTCAAATTCGTCTGTCCGCTGCCACTACCAATACTCAAAAACTAAAATTCCCCGTGATTCCTACCTTAGTCCTAGAATAAGTAGTCCAGAAGTTGACGAATAAAGTTAGTCTCCGAATAGACTAGTCCGCGGACTAGGAAGTTAGTTCGCGAGCTCTGAAACCCGATTTTTTATTCGATGACTAACTTTATTCACTGATTAAGTAACTCTAGGATTAAGTATTCCCGAGCTCGGAAACCCGCCCTAAGTAGTTGGCACACTTTTCATATGTCTGTAAGGAAGTTTTCCCATTTGAAGGAAAAAAGTCCCTTCACACTCCTACACAGTAGTTCTTTCTTTTTCCTCAAGGGTTTTTATCCTGGGATAGTGACAACTCTGTGACTGCTACAAACTGATCTGCTTTATTATGCACTATATACAATATTTACAAAAGTGTCTTCAAACGTTATGGCCTTGTAGTACCAAGGCGACTATTAGCTTAGCGTCCAGTGCTCAACACCGTAATGTCCCTAGTGATCCTCTGGAATACCGTCCCAACGGCGTACCTCCCAGAGAGCAACCTGTCGTTGCTGTCACTTCTCGTCGGCTGTCTGGCTCCAACTGCACAGCATTCTAACAGTGATGTAGACTCATTGAAGTGTGTGGCGATGTCTCCTGCTGACACCTCTTGTCGGCTGTCTGGCTCCAACTGCCCAGCCTTCTAATAGTGGTGTAGACTCGTAGCAAAGCCGCGCTGTCTTCTGCTGACCGCTCTCGTCGGCTGTCTGGCTCCAACTGCCCAGCATAAAACAGAATCTCCTATTATATACCGTCCACTATTGCACGGAGTGGAAGGGGAAGATTCAAAGGATGGCTGCGGGCTCAACACGCCCGTGCACTAAGGTACTGGGGGCTCAACACGCCCATCCCGTATCGGGGAGAGGAAAAGTACTGGGGGCTCAACACACCCGTCCTGTACCAAAGAAAGGAATAAGTACTGGGGCTCAACACCCATCCCCATCCTTTACCGGAGAGAGGGAAATGTACCAGGGGCTCAGCACGCCCGTCCAGCCATTGCGGGCTCAACACGCCCATGCACTAGGGGATAGGGAATGGTACTGGGGGCTCAACTCGCCCATCCCGTACTGGAGAGAGGGAAAAGTACTGGGGGCTCAGCACGCCCGTCCTGTACTGGAGAAAGGAAAAAAGTACTGTGGACTGAACACGCCCGTCCTGTACCGGAGGGAAAGCTAAAGAAGGAGCGCTGGGGGCTCAACACGCCTGTCCAGCCAGTGCGGGCTCAACACGCCCATGCAATAGGGGATAGGGAATAGTACTGGGGGCTCAAAAGGCCCATCCCGTACTGGAGGGAGGGAAAAGTACTGGGGGCGCAACACGCCCATCCAGCACCCAGGTAAGGGTCACCGGGGGCTCAACACGCCCATCCGGTGGGGTCGGGCCCGAAGGCCCAACTGACTCTCCTGCCTAAGTGCCCTCCCTTATATGCACAGATTTTTCCCCCGAAGGGTGGGGGAAAGTACTCAGCACCGGGCCCTGATACTGAGCTCCTTCCTCAGCACATTGTCCTAAAAGAATTTACCTGAGTGAAAAGTGCTGAGGGAAAAGTACTGGGGGGAAAACGGCAAAATTCTATGTGTATCTTTATCACTTTATTACATTACATGTCTTATGGAAAACAATGTCAGTCAGGTGAAGCCTAATTTCTTGCATGAAGGTTTCCAGGTTTCTATCCTTCCTCTTAAGGTTTTCCATTACACTTGGAACCCATGACATTAATTATTGCCACTGCCTGGTAAATTATGTCCTTTCGATTCATAGCTGTTCCTAGACTGATAACCCAACTGAGAATTATACTCAATCTGGATTTGATATGATGGGGCCAAAATTGAAAGTGAACTTGAAAAAGTTGTGGGGCTGCCGTGATAGACTCGCCATTTCACACATAATACATCAAAGGTGTTCCAACGTCCGCTGCTCTATGGCTTCTAAATTAGCATCATATAGATTACAAACATCAGGGTGTCCTCATTCTGGAAAGTCAGACGTTAAATAGTCATTGAAATTCATGGAAATAGGCAAAAAGTCATGGAAAGTCATGGAAATCCCCAATGATGGAGGGGTTTGAGGGGACTTTTCAATGCTCTAGTCGGCTGTAACCCCGACTATTGTAGCATTTTTTCAGGATTTTTCACAATTATAAGACAATTCAATTTATTACAGTTGTATTAGATTATGAGTTTAGCGTTTGTATTAGTTTATTGTTCTACCTATTGTAGGTACTCCATTGTTATTTGTTAATACATGAAATAACTTGTCTAGGCAGTATTATTCGTGTGTGTATGTTACATTATAATTTTTTAGTATAGTTCATGAGTAAAATCAATGGTAAAATGGTCATGGATAGTCATGGAAATTAATGCCAAATTTTCTGTGGACACCCTGCATTAGTGACCCCTCCCCACTTGCAACAATTACATCTGCGCGTATGGTACAAACACTGCTGTAAATATTACGGTTCAAAAGCTATTGCAACTTTTGTTATTTCCCCCATAAAATATCATAGTTATAGTTATATATACACCCACTCCGCTAGCCCAGGATAAGGGTTGTTGACAAGCTAATGGGTGTGTCAGATTTGCTGGAATCATTTATTTTTGTTGTTTTTGATTGTTGGTTTACAATAGTTGTTTGGAGAATATACTTATCTCACTAACAATTTGTTAAAGGTTCATATCTACGTTTAAAGGACACACACACTGGGTAAACTGCGCCAGATTTTCTTTGGATGGAAAGCATGTCATCTCCTGCTCTGACGATAAAACTGTCAAGTTGTGGGACCGGCACACAAACTGTCTAATCCACTCATTTGAGGAAAAAGGTATTTCAGTAAATAGCCTAGCTTGAATGTTAGTTGTACTTTAAAAACTGAGCTAGAATTGTAGCACTGAATGAGAGAATTGAGAGACGTTGGTCGCCATATTTAGTAGGGGTATAGTACATTGTAGACATTGTACTTTAGTATATTGAACATAGAGGCTAAATAGGGGATTGTGGGATTGTAATAAAGCCATGAGCCGGTTGGTTCTTCTATTTGCCACCAACATAACAAAATTAAACTGTGTGTCGATTTTCTAGCAGAGTTGCCGTGCCAGTGCTACCTCCAGTCTAATTCTGGCTCAGTGACTAAAAAGTTAGTTGTTGAAACATTTTTTATAGCTTACTTTGTTGTTTTACATTTTAATGTAATTATACTTTACTTATAGACAAAAACATGATATAAACTTACTGTAACAGTTTCTATTGCTATAGTTTTTTGACACACTCCTTGATTACAACTTTTAAATAATTAGTAATTTTATCATACAAATGGTAATTGATTAAAATTTTAGCTGGAGTTTCAGACAGTTCCTAGAGTTTGAATTGGTTGACTTTGTCTCACTGTGTTAGTGTCATAGCAGGTAACGAGGTTTTAAACAGTCCAGTATGTTGTGGGTTCTATTTTCCGTCTGCATAGTTTTTTTTTCTTTTTATCTATTTTCAACTCTTTATTTTGTTTTGCAGTGGTTCCCAAGTATGTTGAGTTTCACCCGAACCACAAATGTTTTGGAGTTACTTTTGCTAATGGACATATAAAAATTTATGATATACGAAATCATAAATTATTGCAGTTCTATGTTCACAAACAATCAGTCAACAAGTTGGCGTTTCATCCAAACGGGAACTTCTTCATTGCTGGTTCTAGTGATGGACTGGTGAACGTAAGTTAAAAGTTAGATTACGATTCTATTTTTAGGTTGTGATAAAAATGGAAACTGTGAAATTCCCAGAAAAGGCCGGCTGATAAAACGAGACCTCTGTTTTTGCCCAATAAGATGAAACCGAAAGGCAGTTGATCCAGGGTTGATTGAGAGAGAGTTCACAATAATAGTTAAACATTGAAATTATAAACAAGATATTTATCACACAACATTTTAAACTTTTTTTCTCAATATACCTTCGTCTGAATATTAGCTTTAATGTTTCTTTTGCTTACAAGGATTTGGCACAGTGTAATCCCCACTATGCCTCTTATGAAATTAAAAAAAAAAATGAAATAATACAGTTTTTATGAGAATTTCAAATGTGCTCCATGCAACCATTGAAACAGGTAGTTGCAAATAAGCAATTTAAGAAGGTGCTATTGTAAATGTTTGATGTTTACTGATACATTTTAGTATTCTAGGTTACACAAAATAAGTGAATACCGTCTTTATTAGGCTATACAGAGTATAAGAGATACAAAATCCCGCTTTGTATGAAAACTGTTGTCAAATACCTACAAATTAAGTATAATACATGTTCAATTAACAAATAATACCTGTAAAAAATATCTGTAACATTCACCTTGAATACTTGTAACTTTTTTTCTATTTGGACAAACATTGTAAAGGTCTTAAGTAAAAAAAGGCCTTTTTTGCCCATTCTGACCTGCGGTAACTGCAGCAGGCCTCCTAGCGAGTATTGATTGTGCAACAGAAAACCTCATTTATTTATTTATTTAGTTAGGCTACTTTATAATTTTGATGGAAATGTCCGCCATGTATATATATACTTATTTAATACGCAAGCAGGTTTTTTGTGACAATTACTTCTCCGAAACTACTGAATGGATTGACATGTTTTTGGTGTCATTGGAAAGAGCGTAATGTGAAGCTGTGCAGTAAACGTTCTTTTTAGGGAAATAATTAGAGAGTGAGGCCCTAGAACCCTTTAAAGTTTCGTACTTCTCCATAAGATTAACATGGGAAACAAACATTGTTATTAAACTCCAGCTGTTTTCAGAAATGTGAGAAGAAGAACATATTTTAATTGTAAACAGTCAATGTGTAGTAAAATAGTCAAAGGTAATAAGCAAACAGAGAGACCTTTTTACACAAAGATATGGTGTACAGGGATATCCATCTCAGAAAATAAACATGTACAGTATGGCTTCCTGTTAAAAATCATATACCATAATAAATACCGGTAACCAATAAATAACCGAAAAATCGTGAAAACCTGAAAATCTTGAATTATTACCCATGAATTATGTCAACTGTTAAAAACATGGATTGAGCTGTGAATTTTGGGTTAAACTTTGAAAATAGGGATGGGTGAAAAAGGAAAACAAACCTTAAGTCATATTAAGAAATTATAGATTGAAGAACAAATTGGCAATCATGCCTAAAAAGCAGTGGTTTTCATTCTATAGTGTGAGTTTAGAATCCTGTTAGAGTCCTGAGCCACTACAGTAGTGGCTCGAAAAAGAAAATTTTTACTGGAGAATTCGGCCTGGTTGTTTCACAAAATGTGGGTACTAAATGAGTGATGGCATAAACATTAACTGATCAACTATGTTGACATAGGTCTACGACATAGTGGAGGGCCGCATAATCTACACATTAGAAGGCCATGACGGATCAGTCAAAGCATTGGCGTTCTCATTGGATGGTGAACATTTTGCTACAGGAGCTGAAAAAACAGTAAGACCTATATTCAATTTATACATTGCGGTGTCTCTAGTAATGACATTCATTATACTATAGTTTGTTTAATCTCCACAAAGTGCTGCAAAAGATTTGGGGAGTAAGAATGGACTATGCTCAATGCTGTATTAATATAAGTATTTTTGGTTAAAAATAATGGAGCTGTATGCATAAAAATAAATAGTTCTGAACTTCCTCCATTTCAGGACTTGAATAGTGTTTGTTTACTCTTTTAAATTAACACTTTTAAAAATTTGACTTTGAAAAAACTGACAAAAGATAGAGGTTAAGGGTGTAGCATAGAGCACAAGGGCCTAGATTATTAGGATTTTTTGAGAGGATAGTAGGCTTACCTGAATGGGAAAGAGTCCAAACTGGCACAGGAAACACAAAACTTTACACTATATACACAAAACATTAGAATATTTCACTGTCACTGACAGCATTTTCAACTAAGGAAGCTCGAGAGAGTTTTCTAGATGTCCAAAATGGTGGCCAGTGAGTTAGTGACAGTGAAATATTCTAATGTTTTGTGTATATAGTGTAAAGTTTTGTGTTTCCTGTGCCAGTTTGGACTCTTTCCCATTCAGGTTTAAGCCTGCTATCCTCTCAAAAAATCCTAATAATGACAAAGAAATATACAGCAATCCCTAAGACTTATAACTAGTGCTGAAAAAGTCCTAGTGGTGATTTTCCTTTTGCTCTTGGTATCAATCTTAGGCCAACCCAACTTTGTGTTCGTTAATCTATTGCTTATTTACCTCCCCGCGAGATTGGTTCGGGCCGGACATAATTTTAAGGCCATAGATTTCACCAGACATGATTTTACGGCAACCGCACGGGACGTGTGCAGGGTTGCCACCAGCCATGAAAACCTTGAAAAGCTTGAATTATGCATGAATTCTTGTGACCATGAAAAAAGGCATGGATTGTGCATGAATTTTTCCATTGGACCATGAATTTTAAAAATCAGGACTAATTATTCAATTAGTACAATTAAATTTGCCAAATATTTTTTTCTCTATATTCAAAAACAATTCAGAGAATAAACCAACACCAAGAGAATACTGTCTGGAGATGATTATTTAACATGTTCCACGATCAGAAACAATTGCTTAGTTAGTTTATTCCAAGTCATTCGAGGTTAGATGCTGATGTCAGCTGAGTCTTTCCGAAGACTTAATATGGTTTGAAAAATCATTAGTAGGCAACTCCCGCGTATGGATAAAGGGACTTGAATTACAAAAACAGAAGTTTTGGACCATGCTCGGAATTGAAACGGGGTGTATAATAAAACAAAATTTCCGACTCTTGACGCCTGATGTTTTTAGCTTTGTGGATAAACCAATCATATGTTAGTACGTTCAGTAATAAGATGAACCAGTAAACATAAAGGATATTTTATGACATTCATATGGAGGGATAAAGCAGGACTTTTTTGGCCAGGTGTGCGGGATCTTTGTTTTATTCCGGTGGAAAGACTGAATTATACCTATATACAGGGTGTCTAGTAGTCGGGAAAATCGGGAAAGTCGGGAATTAGTATTGAATTTCAAAATGGTCTTGAAAAGTCGGGATTTAGTCTTAAATTATATTTCAAAGTCGGGAATTTTCATGATTTTGCCGCGATCGTCGTCTTGCGTTTACGTAACCGCAAAAGCCAATGATGATGTCTACACGGCCTCGGGAAATGTTCACGATTTTGCCGCGATAGTGGATGACGACAATGACGTTTCTGTGACAGCGGGAGACTACGATGACGTTTCCGTGACCGCGGGAGACGACGATGACGTTTCCGTGACCGCGGGAGACGACAATGATGCCTACACGGCCGCGGGAAATGTTCATGATTTTGCCGTGATCGCGGACGACGACGATAACGTTTCCGTGACCGCGGGAGATGTGGGTGATGTCTATACAGTCGCGGGAAATGTTCATGATTTTGCCGCGATCGCGGACGACGATGGCGTTTCCGTGAGCGCGGGAGACGACGATGACGTTTCCGTGCAGCAGTCAATGATGATGTCTAAACGTACGGTACGTGGAAGATTTCATGATAAAAAAAAACAAATTTGCTAGTTAGAATTTTTTATTGCTGCATTATTTCTTTACTTGAAAACACCACATTATCAATACTACTTTATGACAAAGACAGGGGTTGTTGTGTATTATTCAGAAAATTTGGTTAAGCTATAAAAATTGGTATCGGTATCAAGAATTGAGAATCGATACATTTTTTTATCAACACCCACTAATTGTTGAAAAAACTAGTCTTGAAAAATCTGGAATTAGTCTTGAAAAGTCTGGAATTAGTCTTGAATTTTATAATGGAAATGAACTAGACACCCTGTATATAGATATTTTACAATTCTTCTCCAATGTGTAATATAGAATAGCTGGACCCACTTCGTTTTCATCTTTGTTTCGAATGTATATTTATAAATTACTCTAAAATAGTTGAATTTCATGTATGGAAAGGTTATTCAATAGTAACACGCAAAGAAACTGCCTCTAACAATTTCTTAAGTCAGCAAAAATGAGCGCACCGACCATGATTTTTTTTTTTACTGCCCATGAAAACCATGAATTCTGCATGGATTTTTTGATCCCACTATGGTGGCAACCCTGGTGTGTGATTTCTCCATGACCATGAGAGACTTTCATGATTTTATTGCGATCTTGAGAAATACTGTATAATTTTTTTAAACCGATTAGCCTATAGTTTAACAATAAATATATCTGTACTTAATTATTATTTTAAAATCAATACTTACCAAAGCAACCTGATTTTGCCTAGACCCAATTAGGGCTTGAGATTTCTTATACCAACATGTTTCATTAGACCCAAAGAATAAAAGTCTTGGCCTGCAGCCCCTAAAGTATAGCTTTTTTTCAGTTCTATAGGCTTAAAAACAAATTTTAGAGCATTTAAATCATACATATTTATCTACTTTTTATTTTCAATTTTTTCAGATATTTGTTTGGAATACCAACTTCAACTGCAGTTTGGCAAAGCCTTTGGAAACTGGGTCGAGAACAGTTGATGCTAGACAGAGTATGACGCCAGATCAGCCCAATTATGAACTTGAGGTAACGTGTGACGTAAAATTCTAGGGGGGGGGGGGGTGGAATAAACTTGTATTCACAAAGTCAGGCTAGACCTACCCATAGAATCAGCTACACTCAAATTTTTTCCCTGGAATGCACAGAAGGAGCCAAGAAAAAATCCAGGGGTCAAATTCTAGACTCAGAGCTCTAGAAGCGCTCAGAAAATCTTGTAGACGCTCAGGTGGAGCTTTATCATCCGCACCTTCCTTAAAGTGTTTTTAGGCATTTTTATTTCCCTATCAAACGATACCAAGTTCAAAAAGATTAAATAAGAAAAACCTGGAATACGATTTTTGTTGATAAATGGGGAAAAACTGACTAGCTTGTCCTTATTCTACCCCATTTTACAACTAAAAAAATCATAATATTTAAGCTTTTTCTTGTTCTATATTTTTTAAATTGGTGTCGTTTGATAGGTAATTGATAAAAAATGTTAAATAAAAGTGTTCTGGACATTTTTTCCATAAAATCAGCCATTTTCTAGTAATTTAAGATTAAAAGATTAAAATGACCACCATTTTGAAGTTCTGAGTTGAATAAGATGATTTTTTTTTATCATGGGTCCTCTTTAGCCTCAACAGACGTACCATAAAGATCGGTTGAAAAAAAGTCAAAGATAAAAAATGTTTATATAAAAAATATGGCGGATATCTAGTTACGGAAAGTAAATAAAGATACGTCTTATAACACTTAAAACATACATTTACGCTTATACTGTTACTCACAAGACGGTAAATATACAAGGTAAGTGGTGATCGATTTTGATTGGACACTCCAATCATCATCAGACCCAATAGGCGAATGACAAGAATATTGAATGGCGTCCCTACTTATACCCTATTGGCTACCGGAAACACAGGCCAATACATTTTAGCGAATTTCCCTACAGGGAAGTAGGTGGCACGGTAAGACCTAGACCCGTGATCGATTTACTTTTTCATTTTGATGTCCCCAGAAGCCAAAAACACCATTCGTTCAAATTTTTATATATGTATATATATATAGACTTATACATATATACGTCCGTGAACGCGATAACTTGAGTAATTTTTGTCCGATTTTGATGAAATTTGGTTTAAAGGTGTAAAGCAGGATAAACTTGAATGAGTTCGCGAACCAGCACGATCGGACCATGGGTAAAAATTGGTTTTTCTCACTTTTGACCCTCAAAACACAAAATTTCCCGATTTCTCTTTAGACCTTTTTACAGAGCTTAGAAAAACAAATAATTTAGTATGTAAAAGTAGTATTTTTGTTCGATTATTAGTAACAAAAAAAAATTAAAAAAATTGTAAATTTAAAATTCCCATGTTATTCTTATGGAGAATATTGTCAAATGTTGTAGTTTGCTTGTTTATGAATATATTTTGATCAAACTTGGCAAATTTATTTCTTTTTTACTAAGCTATCAATATTTTACTCAAAAACACACTTTATTAGTTTCCTTGTAGCAGCAAACATAGGTACTCGTTAAACCTAATGTTATTAAAATATATTTAACTGAAAATAAATTCAGACAAATGGAAATTCGCTTAGTCGGCAGGTTTGCTGCGGCGGGGGTATTTATAAGTACAACTGGAATCGAAATTTACTTGTTCATTAATCAACCTATTTCTATTTTTACATTTTTCCTTATAAATATACAATTCTTCCAAAGCATTCATCACATATCTTCTTACAATTCTTCAAAATACATAGATTATCCTCCATTTTTCCTATTGAGTGTCCATTTTGTAACAGGTGTTGTGGGACATTTGATCTTTCCGGTTTGTTGTTTCTCCATGCAGATATGTGGTTTTTGAAGCGATATCTAGTTCAGATATCTAGTTTAGATATCTAGTTCACAAAATGATTTTGGAAAAAAATGTTATTCTCGATTTTCTCTTTATTTTGACCCAAGGAATCACTTTGTAAGTTATGTCCTGACCTTTTTTTAACATTCTGTATAGTGCACTCATAGAAAACTAGGAAGTCTGTATTGAACAAATAATTTTAGGAAACCTCTTCAGAAAATAAGCAAAAAGTTCATCCATTTATCTATCTTTGATTTTAAGTATATAAGTCATGAAAATAATATTTTTGATATATTTTTATGTAAACAGTATGACAATTACATGTAGGTTATACTTTTTGTTCGCTTTCTGTTTTTATTTACATTTGAACTACTTATTAAATGTTTGGATTAGGCGGTATAGTACATCTTCCCGTTGCAAAGCACGGGTATAGTAGCTAGTACCTAAATAAATGTAGAGACCAGAGAGTGTTTGAATTTGCTGCTGCAAACCATAAACGACAGCTTGCTGTGTTGTAGAAGGGCTCAGTTTGCAATATTGGTGACCTGTGGTAAGCCACATGTTTACTGTGGAACAATGTTTTTTTTTTATTTTAAGCTTGCAATGTTAGTTTCTTCCACACTTACACAATGGAGATAGATTTAATGAACTAAGCAATGTGCTTTGTAACATGTTTGATGGATCTAAATAGCTTTTACCACAGAAAACATACTACTATAACCCAGAATGCCAACCGCATGGTAAAAAGCATTAAGTGTTTTGAGAGAGCTTTGCCTGTCAATCCGTAGGCAGCGCCACCAGCGCACTCAGCATAGCAACGCTGGTGGCGCTGCCTACGGATTGACAGGCAAAGCTCTCTCAAAACACTTAATGGTTTTTACCATGCGGTTGGCATTCTGGGTTATAGTACAGATAGTGTCACGGTGCGTGGCGCCTCGCTGGAGCATGCGCACTGAGAGCTTTCCTCCACTACGCCTCGATGTACGGTACAGTCACGTTCAAATACTGAAGTTGTGAACTAGCATGACCTTTGTCAAATTAATTTGCTTTATGTTTACGTTTTTGTATTTTTCTGTCTCTCTCACACTGCCTCCCCTACACGCCAAACACGGTGAAACGGTCTGTAGTATGTTTTCTGTGCTTTTACATAGTAGGAACTAAGGCCACTAACATTACAATCATCAGGGTCAGACAATCATAGACATAAATCCTTAAGCTTTTATTTGTAACTTAAGCTTAAACTTATAACTAAAAAAGGTTCCTGGTTAACTGCTCCATTGATGGTCGCTGTGACAAGGACGAAACATCAGATTAATTTTTATAACCATGATACGGCTGTGACACGGCCAGACTCTGAAGAGCAAGTTTGTAGTGTTGACATGTATGGTGTCCATAGGTGCCCATCCCCCCCAAACCCAGAGGCGTAATCCCCCCCCCCCCCAAGCCAAAGGAGTAGTTCCCCCTCCCAATTTACGCTGCCGTCTATTTAAACATGATTTAAACCTACCCTCCCCCCACCAATTTATCTGACAATTTTCCCTTTACCTCATAAAACGAGCATTTCAAGTATTTAGTAAACTTGAGGTAAGAAAAACAATCTTGCTGGTAATCAAAATTAAATGTTTAATAGGAAACGTCATTAAACAATACATCATTGATTATATCTAACTAATGGACGAATTAGAAGTTTTTCAATTTACAATTCAGAATCTGTATTGTCAGCCAACATGTGCTCAGTATTGCAATAGACAACGTCTTCAAAACTTACAACAATATACTTGGTGAATTACTCTACTCCAACACAGTACTGTATATGTACAATATATTAGGTGGCATTAATTTTTACAGGTCTTAAGAATTCAAACAGCTTTAAGTTCATTAATAATTTTGGCAAAAATATCTTGTTTCAAAATTATAGGCAAAGTCACGAAATAGGGCAGTCTTGTTGCTCACCACTCCCAGGCTGCCTTCTACTTCTACAAAAATCGCCAGGCCAAATACCCACAATACCTTAATTGCCACCAGCACAAAAGGTTTTTGTGACAAAGTAATCTTATAATTCATTTTGATAGCCCCAGGATTGCCTTTTATGACTAATAATGGTAGAAACGCATCTTGTCAGACAATCCGTTTGTACGCAAAACACGAAATGGCAGATAGGCCTAACAATTCACGCGTGTACATTGCCGCGGGCAGGACTGGAAGTAAACTGAATCAGGTTATGATGGAAAGACGTGGTCTCTGGATTGTCGTCTGTGTTATCAAAAGCTGATTTTAGACTAATTGTAGTGACGGAGGAGTGTTGAAAATATATTGGGATTCATAATTGAGTTTTCCATTCAAAATTATTGACAATAATAACCAATTTATGCTGGATATAAATGATGGTCTCGAAATTCTACAGTAGGCCTACTGCGCAAAAGAAAATTTACTTTGAGGGGGTTGAAATATATAAATACATAAAACTAGGGACAGCACAAAATTTTTGAGCCAAAACGCTCAGTTAATTATGAGTCCCATTATATTTTCAACATTTCAACACTCTTCTCAGTCACTATAAAAGCCCAATATCAGCTGATGAAAACGCAGACGACAATCCAGAGACCACGTCAGTCCGTCATAACCTGGACCTGATTCAGTTTACTTCCAGTCCTGCCGACGGCAATGTACACGCGTGAATTGATAGGCCTCCTATCTGTAATCGTTTCGTGTTTTGTGTTAAATGTTTGTACCGTATTCTGACGACACCTCCAGAAGTGGATCTTTTGTAAATCCTGACGATGGTGGAGTTAAAGAACCGCCAAAACATGTAGCAAGTAAAATTCGACACTGGTATATCAAGGATTGTCTGACAAGGTGCGTTTTTACCAATCTTAGAAGCAATCTTAATTACAAACGGCAAAATGTTGTTGGTGTTGATAGTGAGCTACTTTGAAACACTTTTTCGGGCTGCTTGTACAAAATTATACATTAATTATGACAGCTAGAAAAAAAATATCCCCCCAAAATCCCTTAAAAAAAGTCCCCCCCCCCAAAATTCCTGGCGCAAATGCGCCACAGTACCCCCCCCCCCTCTCCTGGGCACCCCTGGTGGTGTCCACTCAATCAGTTTGACTGTGGGGAGCGAGCTTTTCTAGTGGTAGAGCGTTGCACTTTGGTCTCAGGTTTAAATCCCACCAACCACCAATGGAATTTATATATGTGATAACGCCGCAACCCATAGGCCTAGCCTAAAGTAAAGTATAAACAATCCTAGGCTAGCGGCTATTCAAAAAAGAAAAGAAAACAATGTGAGTTGGTTTACAATTTAAATTTAATTTGTTGAATTCATGGTTGAATTGTCTTTTTTGTTATATTTGCTACAGGTTTCTTATCTGCAAGACTCACCCACTGAAGAAAATCCTCTTGAATTTGAGTCTTCACCAAAAGAGGAAACATTCTATTCTGTAGTTGCTGACAACAATCAAAACCTACCAGTCACCAATGAGAATACGAGAAGTCAGTTACAATTTGTTGATCTGTCTGATGATACTTTCCAATCTTGCAATACAGGTAAAACTATTTCTCAATATTTAAATACATTAAGGAAACGGAATATGTACACAGTTCCAGGTAGTTGAAAGAACAAACAAAATTCAGAACATAATTAACTTGTATTAGATTTAAACCTTCGTTGTTGCCTGAGTTCTTATAGGAAAGATGTGTTAGTTTATGTCCTATGCAATTTGCCAGCTTGTGTGGGCGACTAGTGCTAGACACCACTTAAGTGTACCATTGAATGTTTTCACTGTACTTCATTCAATGTGGTATCAGAGGTCTTCTTAATCACTTATCAATAATACTATAGTCTATACTGTATTTACAAATATTTACACATGCACGCCTGCACAGTCACTAGTACCACGGTCCGGGTCGATCGGACTAAGCCAATATTTATAAAGTAACCCACAATTGCAATGAGACAAAATATTAGAGTTTAATGGGAATACAAACAGGAACAAGTTATTAACCACTTGACACATGATAAAAATACAGTGACACTCAAAGAAGACTATCTTAACTTAATTGAAATAACGTTATTCAACATTCTGTCCCTGCCTTTTGTAAAGTAATGGACTTGTAGGACCTTGAATGATGATAGAACATTTTCTCAGCTTCAAATTAGTTTGACTTACATCACGCTATGTCAATTATCAATATTTTTATTAGTGATTTAGAAACCACCATTGAAATAGCGCTTTGGGCAAAATGGCCAGTTGACAAAACAGCTGATTTCAACATTTTATTTCTCAGACTTCCTAACGTCGTATGACAATGTTCTCTTTACGAAAATAAAGAACAACTCATGTTCTTTCCAATGTTACAAACCGCTTTCCGTTTGGGCCAAAATAAAGACTTCACAATTTTTTTTCAAGAACACATGTTTTACAAGATTTTGCCGATCGCGACTCGAGAATGTTTTGCGCACTAAATTAAGCTCAATTTATAATAGCAGTTATATTGTTATAATATCAGTTATTCTACGAAGTTCGTTTATACATGAAAATGAAAGTTTATAATCTCCTCTTTTCAAAAGTATCAAAATTATTACGCTTCTGGACCATTTTCATATGTGTAATAAGTGTTTGAAAAAAAATGTCCAAACCGCCTTTTAACGGCAGTTGGGAATCCGGCGCACACATGAAACCGCCGTTTAAACGGTGGAAGGCAGTTCTAGGGTTAAGTGTACCATTGAATGTTTCAACTGTACTTTATTCAATGTGGTTTCAGTAAGTTCAATAAGATTAAATTGTTTGAATATTACAACAGTCTTCATAATATTGCTATTGTTGTGTAAGTTTAGAAGTCTAGTGAGATAGTTTCTACAATATTGTATTTCTTTTAGAAAAAAGTTTTTCAAATGCTGGTGGTGATGCTACTGCTAAACAAATTGATACCAGCAGTGATGTGGAAAAAGTGATGCGTAGAGTGAATGCCCTGAAAGCTGAAGTAAGTATTTCACAGAAAAATGTCTCTTCTTATGATTGAACGTTTTATTATTATCTGTGCTTTTAAATATTTTGGCAAATAACCATTATATTTTTAGAATCTTAAATATGTAAAATTGCAATTCTATTGCAATATATTTGGTTCATATTTTTCAGAGTATACCATACTAGTGTACATGTTGCTCGAAATCGAGCAATCGCAAATAAGTTATTTAAAAACAAATAACTTATTTAAGAACAAATATAAGTCATAAATTCCGATGATTTTAAAAGAGTCAACTCAAAGATTACGTAACTAATGATAATACTCACAACATACTTAACAGTTCAATATAATCAACATTTCTTGTAAATATTTTATCATTTCCAAAAGCTGATCTGGCTTTTAGTGTATTGTAGAAATGTTTCCCACTTATAGCCGCAATAGGTTGTCCATGTTGGTCTTTGTCAATGATAATTTAGTCTGCATGGTATCACTCATTGTCACCAGTAGGTTTGCAAATTTCAGTCTTTATTTTAATAGCACCAAATAACCACCTGATTTTCTGCATAACCTCTCTGTCACAATTTTACAATTGACATATGTTCTTCTCACTTTTAATTTCTGACAACAGCTGGAGTTTCATAACAATGTTTGTTTCCCATGTTAATCTTATGGAGGAATACAAAACTTTAAAGGGCCCCAGGGCCTCACTCTCTAATTATTTTCCTAAAAAGAAAGTTTCCTGCACAACTTCACATTACACTCTTTCCAATGACACCAAAAACATGTCAATCGGTTCAGTAGTTTCAGAGGAGTAATTGTCACAAAAAACCTGCTTGCGTATTAAATAAGTATAGATATAGATACTAAGGAGATTAGGTTAGTTTAAACAATAATTATCAACAGTATTTCCCTTTAAATATTTTTACCATTCCTATAGTTACAACTCAATCTTGTGGTTGCCAAATTCCCTTGAGCTCAGTATATGTTGGACCAATGAAATCGATAGTGAGTTTTAATGCAGTGTTTATTTTACTACTTTCATACTTCAGCTACGCTTTAACCCTGGAACTGCCGATCGGTCATTTTATGACCGACAGGGTCCGTTCCGTAGTGCCATCGGTCACAAAATGACCGATCCAGTATTTTTCATATATATAAGCTTCTACTCATCGGAACGAAGTATTTTATGCATCAATGTAAAGCCAAAGAGGTTGGCTGCCTGCTAATATGACAGTTTTTACGTTTTATTGTATTGGCGGGCCTGCTAACATATGTTGATCAAAGTGTTTGTTGTTTCTATGCAGTAGTGGTGTCGTCTGTAAACACGGTCGGTTATCTCGTATTTATTTCGTTGTTTTTGCGTGTTTTTCGGATCAAAAAGTTGTTTGTACTTATTGATAAACTCGTTTAGTTATATTCAAAGAGTGTTTTAGTAGTTTCCATTGTTATTTGTGAATATTTAGCGAACAAAGTGGACTTTGAAGTGACATTATGTGTGGGGGTTAGTTTGTTTTGTTGGATTACAAACTTGATATTTTTACAATGGAAAATTATGCAGGACGATCCAGTGATTTACGTGAATTATTGATGAACGATCTTAGTGAAACTAATGATAATATTGATTCTGAAGTTGAGCCAGTGGAATCAGAAGAATCAGTCGTGGTGCCGGTAGGCCTAGGGGCAAGCCCATCAGTGAGTCAGCCTTGTGATGAGACAGGTGATGAATCAGATCTTGATGTAGACATTTATGGTTTGACACCTGAACATAGTCTTACAGACTTCTCCTCTGGATCAGAAGATGACTATGTCCCACATAGCAGTGAATTAGATACCAGTCAAAGAGAAGTAACAGATTTAGACGTAGGCCTAGATGTACCAACCGTAGGTTTGGGTCCACCTGCTCCACCTCCTGGTCCTGGAGGGGATGCAGCAGCTAGGCTAGGAATACCCCCAATTCCAAATATTACTAGGCCTATTTGGACAAGGGTCTACCCCCCAGAACCTGAAGGGGAGGATATAGAAACTAAGTTTACTGTGAGAAATACTGGGATTAGAGACTGTCCACCCCGCAACAGCAAGCCAATTGCTTACTTCAATTTGTTTTTCCCCTACGCAATCTGGATGTTATTCACAACTGAAACCAATGCATATGCATCCAGAGAAGTAACTCGAAGGAGATTGTCGGGGGAATTGAGGGGACAGTCACGGTTACGACACTGGGTTGACGTAACATACAGTGAAATGAAGAAGTATATAGCGCTGGTGATAAATATGGGCCTAATTGGAAAAAAAAATCTTATTGACTATTGGGACCAATCTTTCAGCCAGAGAGTTCCATTTTTCCCTGAAATTATGTCAAGAAACCGTTTCCAGGCTATATCGTCAATGTTTCATCTCACTTCAGAGCCTTTTATCGCTAAAGGAGAACCGGGTTATGATCCTTGGCAGAAAATAAGGAAACTCCTAGATCACTTGAATGATGCTTTCAAAAGACATTTTGTCCCTTCCCAGAACCTAGCAATCGATGAAAGTATGATAGGAATGAAGAATCGGACAATATTTATACAATATATGCCTAACAAGAGACATGCGCGCTTTGGAATTAAAAAATTTGAAATATGTGACAGTGCTACCGGTTATTTGCTCCATACTGCCCTTTATAGTGGTAAAGACTTTTTGAGTGATGGAGATGATCCATTCACTCAAAAAGTTATATTTGAGATGATGAATCAGACTCGATTGTTGGGGAAACATCATCATGTCTTTACAGATAACTTTTACACTAAGCTACCCCTAGCCGAAGCTTTGTTACGCAACGACACATATCTAACTGGTACAGTAAACAAGAAGTCTAAAGATTTATCCCGAGCAGTGGTAGGAACACAATATGAGGCAGGTCAAACTGTTTATTTCAGGAAAGGAAAGGTGTTGCTCGTCGGCTATAAGCAAAAAAAGAAGAGGAAACCCGTTTATCTTATAACAACTGCTTGCCATGCGGAGGATAGAAATATAGTTAGTCGCAGTGGGCTACAAGCTGTGAAACCCCTAGTTATTCACAAGTATAATCTATCTATGGGGGGTGTGGATCAAAAAGATAAATCCATATATCATCACTCATGTACCAGGCCAACTCGCAAGTATTGGCGAAAGATATTCTTCAACCTAATGGACATGGCCATGCTAAATGCCTACATTTTATACTCCAGGAACACAGATCACCCTCTTTCAAGGAAAAGATTCATGGTGGATATTGTTGAAACACTTGTCAGGCAACAACCACCTGCAGAACCTGTTCAAGTAAATCCCTTGGAACACAATCTAGTGCAGTTTCCATCGAATCAAAGGAGAGTCTGTCCCGTCTGCGGAAAAAAAAGCAGCTGGAGGTGCCCTGGGTGTAATGTTGGTGTTCACCCACAGTGCTTTGGGAGGTTGGAACACTTTTACAGGCCACTAAAGTCAAAAAAAAGAGACCAGCCACAGAAAATGAAAGTGACTCTGACTAAAGTCAGGAACAACAATCGCCCTCTTCTGGCCAAGTTGCCTTCGGCCAAATTTTTGCAGTTCCTTGTAAAAATATTGCTATTGACAATCAAATCTTGAGTGTTTTACTTTATTACTTTTGTGTTTATGCCTGAGTAGGCTATTTCAAATAAGAAAGTGAATTATAATTTTGGTTTATTATTGTTATGTGACTGTTTGTGAACATTTATCTTCTTGGAGTTTATCGTTACCGTGGATACATAGTCCAAAAATTAGCAGGTATGCTTTTCAAATTATGTTTAGTTTAGATTTTTGTTGAATTACATTGTTTAGTAGCACATTAGGACTGACTAGTGCTGTATTTCATGACTTATAATAATTCTAGACACATATGTTTCCCATATGTCTGGTTCGCGCAGAATTTTCACCGAGCACATCATGTGAAAAATCTCAAATTTTATGAATAATATATTACTTTTTCAGTAAACAAAATTTATTTCTAAAAACTAGATAAAATTTGCAACAAAATGTATACTTTGGAATTCTTGTGGCATTTCTGATGTGTATTGGACATGAGACATAAAATGCGGAAATGATTTTTTTATAAATTTGTGTATAAAAAAAAATGGTGTGTAAAAATTTTTTTTTTTATTTTACAAAATAAATTTTACCATTGTATTCCTTGTTATTTTCTGAATAAAATGATGTATAATACATTACTTAAGTCATACAAATAATATTTTTTACGAATTTTTAAAAAAATGTATGTTAACCCTAGAACGGCCACATAGAGTGTTTCTGTAGGGCCAGGCAGTTTTTGCCTTCTGTGCAGCGTTTTACTCTCACAGTTGTAAAACCCTTATTTATTTACCAAAACGTATAATATTTTATACCATCGGATTTGGGACATTCTAGAGAATATAAATATATCATTCAAATACAAAAATCTAGTTCATAAAAATAATTTTTTGTAACAAAAAATTGACATCATAAATTTACAAAAACAAAATTTCAAAAGTATGGAAGCACAAAAAATCAAATTTTGATTCTTTTCAAAAATTCAAGATGTACAAATTGTTTTACTTTGATTTCCCTACATAAATATGTCAAAACATTTGAAACTACTATAAAACATTTTGAGTTATGTTCAAAAGTGTAAAACTCTGCACTTTTTCTGAATTTTACATACTTGTATACATTTTAGGCCTACTTTTAGAAATAGATCAAAAACATGAAAACAACACATATTTTTTGTTAGGGAAGTAAACAAGGAACAAAAAAATATATGATTTTACATGCAATAGCTAAAAAATAAATATAGTATTTCACTTAGAAAAAATAAATTTGTTTTTACTTACGGAAAATCATAAAAAAACTTTGAACTTCAAATGTAAGTAAAAAAATAAATATTTAGACTATACAAATTTCAAGATATACAATATGTTTGAAATTGTATGCTTATTTAGAAGATATATAGTTTATTGGGTATAAAAAATATTTTTACTCTTTGAAGCAACAAAATATAAAAAAGAACACATTTTTGGATCCAGCACTAAGTTTTGCTCTAAATTGTCAACAAATTACTCTTCCTTTCTCTATTATAATGAATAATTGTTGCTGTTTACCATACCAAATAAGATCTATTTAGCAAAATAATAAGATTTGTATACTAGGTAACCATAGAATCAAAAATAAATGTTTAGTTTATAAACCAACAGCTGCACGCACCCAAATAATGAAAACATCTGATCGCGGCGCGACAGGTATTTGGACATTGCATCAGTTTGACCAAAGGGAAAAACAAAAATATCACTGAAGGAAACATTCAACTATAGTAAGTTCGAAAGAGGATTTCTTCCCCTTTATTTTCATACGATTCTTTTTTTCCTCGTCAAAATACATGCAGGCAGAGTAATAAATAGTTTTCCAAAAGACTAAAAAAGTCGTTTGGCCATATAGACAACTCTTACGCAATCTGTTTATAGAGGCTTTGTAAAAAATTCACAGCTTGTAAACTAACAATGCTAGACAAAATCTATCAACGGACAGAATGTAGAGAAAAAGTCCCTGGATTCAGTGGTACCAATCAAAATCATCTACGACGTAGAATAGCTTTGCCACGTATTTTAGAAAATGGCTGATTTTGCCTTTGCTGCCCGATCGATAAAGCCCGCGAGGCGCGAAACTCAAATATGTGTTTTGTTTATTTACTTTTCCTGCGTTATTAGTTGACGTAAATGTGTATATAATGTATGGAAATTATAGCTCATTTGATTGTCTTTCCAATGGTATAATCTGAGTTGTGATTACTGCATATTATCAGCTCCAAATATTTGCTAGAAAAAAAGTCTGTAGCAAGCGACTAAAAAAGTTGTTTGGCCACCATCTTACCGTAACCCAACGACTAAAAAAGTCGTTTGGCCGTTCTAGGGTTAATTGCTGAAAAAAGTGTTGGCATTTGAAGAAATTTAATTGGCAGTTCCAGGGTTAATAATAATTTATTATTTATAAGTATTAATTGTTTATATTGTTTCCAGGTTAAAAGTCTTCAAAGTGTGCTTGGAGGGATAATGCAAGATTTAGAAGCAATTGAAATTCGACAAAAGAATTCACAGAATAGTTAATTAAACTTTGAATTAGGCACTTTAACATTCTACTAATCTTCAATCCTTGATGATTTTCAAACTTGTAGCTAGGACTGAACAGTATTATTATTTACCCTACTTACTACTTTTCAATTTTACCGAAGCCCTTATGGGCAGAAAATATGAAAAGACTTATCTATGAGGAATATATGATCTATGTTGCTCTTTTGTTATTGAATTTTCTTATGTGTTTGTTAAACTGTTTGTTATAACTCCTTATAATGTATTCATGTATTCTTCTTGTTTTAACTGTGATATGGCAATGTTATGAGAAAAGTATATTTGTAAGATTTTTTATATATTTCATCTTCACCAGCTTACAGTTATATGTTAATGAATACATGCTTTCTTTTGAATAGTTATTTAGCATTCTTTGACTTTGTTTTTAAAAATTATTCACTGTCACACAGTATGTTTTGGTTGAACTTAGTACATTTATAATCTGCATTGTGTACCATCTTATAGTACCACCATTGCAACACTAAACGATTTGATTTTTGACTGTTATAGTATTTTTTACCTAACTTGTGTAAGATAAGATTGTTTAGACATATGTTGGATAAATTTGATCTCTTTTACAATTTGTTTCAATTTTTAATACCCTGAAACATCCTGTTTAGTTAACACAGTATGATTGATAAAAGGAGGATCACCAGGCTAATTCATTTAATTTCATTTCATAATTTTTAACCACCATCAATCACCATGGCTTGAAGCTGGGCTTATTCGCCCATATTATTTCTCAATTTGTTTTCCCGTGTAGGTACTGTCCATATTGATGGCAAAAATATGTCTAAAAAAAGTGACTTCTTAGATCTTCTTAGCAAGGGAAGGTCAATGGGGTTGTTACTCCTCAAAAATCTTTTTTACAGAAGAACCATTATATAGGTATTAAAGGTAGACTTTAAAATAAGTTGTATTGCGTATCATTCTACCAAATTCATTGTAGATTGAGGCAGAGTCAGAATCAGAATCAGAAAAGCTTTATTCAAGATTTATACATTATATACCTACATGAAATATATGCATAAATACAGAATGGCGTCAAAACAGCTTATTACTAATTAAAAATACTTTGTTAAACTAAATAAAACAGGAAAATTTAATTAATGTAATTACATGTTGTAAAACTCTTCAAATGAGTAAAATGCTCTATCAATTAGTAACAGTTTAAGTTTTTTTTTAAAAGACCTAATGTTTTTTATATCAAATATTTCTTTTGGTTGATGGTACAAAAACCTAATACCTGCAGCTGTTGGTTTCTTGTTATAAAACTCCAGTTTGTGTTGTGTTACGGATGGATAATTTTTATGCCTAGTATTATATCTATGATTATCCCCCAGCAGTGGCACCTTGTCTTCAGAAGCCCTCACATGCATAATAGTGTGCAATATATATGAGCTGTAAACGGTTAGAATTTTTAATTTAGGAAAATATTTTTTGGCCGATTCTTCATCATCCAGATTTAACATGATTCTTATTGCCCTTTTTTGAAGGATTAGAATACTTTGTAAATTTTGATTACTTGTAGCTCCATATAACTCAATACCAAATGTAATGTGTGAGTTGATATGTGCATGGTAAACCTTAAGTTGCCACCCATCCCGATTCTTCCGGGACAGTCCTGACTTTGGTCCCTTATGCCCGTGTTTATGCCTATCTTAATCTGTGGGAAAGGGGATGGCATGTCCCAATTTTTCCCTAACCAAAGGTGGCAAACCTGACTAGGTGAACAGTAGGAATGAATAAAAACCCGACCCCTAACCTTCGGAATTCCTTAATTTGGAATAATATGTTAAAGCCATGTATTAGTAAAATTCCTAAGTCTAAATAATGCAGAAACCTCTCATTTTACATGTTTTTTTGTTTTTTTTTTAATTTCAAATAATAAACTGGAAAATGTGTGTATTAAATTATGGCAGGTTAATTATTTTTTTATGTCTCAAAATAGGTTACAAATCGGACAGTTTTCAAAATGTCACGCAGGAGAACCCATGAACTTCCTATTTCACTAGGTGGTATTCCACACCTCCACCACCATTCCAATGACCCCACTTAGAATATAGGGTCTGAACCGCTCTTGAATCTTTGTGTTGCATAGAACACATTCAGCAATTTATAACAAAAATTGACAGCTGATAACATGTAGTCTACTCTTATCTCTACATTCAGAATATTCTATTTATATTCAGAATATTCCCATTTAGCATAATGCCTGTATAAACACAATATATGGGATCACAAAAGTACTAAACAAACCAAAGATTACATTAACACTAGGTGAATCCCGTCGAAATCGACGGCTACTCTTGAGGTTTTAGGTAAATTCAGCTAACTGTGATGGATAGAGTGAAGTTATTAAAATCTTAGGAAGGATAAACATAATTATGAGTAAGACGATAGTGTACCTTAAAAAACGTGGTTGATGAATTCAATATTTTCTGTCCTTTCATCAGCTTTAGGTTGCCCAAAAGACTTTTCAGGAGTCTTACAATTGTTTCTTGTTATGAATTTTGTTCATGTTAAGGCCTCTTACACTATATGGGAAAAGGAGTTCATATAATTGGTCTAGCTGTCATCTGACGGAAAGAGTCAATAATTTTATTACTAAAATAATTGATTAACTTATGGGGTAGTTTTGCAATGGCCATATTGATCACATAAAGCTGTGCATGTATTTCGTGGATGGAATTAACCATAATTGTAGGAAATTTGACCACAAATCTTGAACATTTGCGGAACCAAATCCATAAGCTAGTCCAGACTTGGTAACAAATTATGAGAATGTGATGCTGATGAGATACTTACTTACTTGTATACCGTACTTGTGTTGATCCCACTAGTAGCTTTCCAGCCGTGGTCGTCAAAGTTGTTTAATTTTCAGATAGGGCCTATCTTCTCTTAATCTTCCAAAACTTCTTCCAGCTTGTAATAGGCCTTTTCTATTAAATAATTTTTGAGGTTTTTCTTGAATAAATTTTTGTCTTGGCAGCTTCTTATTTCTTCCGGCAATTTATTATGGGAGTATTTCATTTGGTCCAAAATCGTTTGGTCCACAAGTTGTAAAACAGTTCGTTTGGTCCATGGGAGTATTTCATTTGGTCCAAAATCGTTTGGTCCACAAGTTGTAAAACAGTTCGTTTGGTCCAAAATCGTTTGGTCCAACACTTGTAAAACAGTTCGTTTGGTCCAAAATCGTTTTATCATCCAGTTAGGGAGTATTTCATTTGGTCCAAAATCGTTTGGTCCACAAGTTGTAAAACAGTTCGTTTGGTCCAAAATCGTTTGGTCCACAAGTTGTTAAACAGTTCGTTTAGTCCAAAATCGTTTGGTCCACAAGTTGTAAAGCTGTTCGTTTGGTCCAAAATCGTTTGGTCCAAAAGTACAGGCAAAACCAGAATTACAATTGTAAATTGTGGAGTAAACTTATGAAATAGACTGTACGTTTCACTGTGGACCATTCGATTGGGTCGTTTTATCCAAAACTCTAATACGAGTTCGTTTGGTCCAAAAGTATGAACTATTGCGTCCCTCACATAGAAGGCGTTCAAATAATCGCCGTCACGTCGTCAACCCAACCGCCTGCCTTCCGAGGCCTATTTGTTGTTTTGTGTTACGTTTCTAAATAATTGATATGTTTGCATTTATATACACGTACATATACATATATTTATTTATATATAATGTGTTTGTGTAATGTTTACTTTTTATCCCCAGTCAATCTTAAAACAACGCGTTTTAATTCCCTAGATTTGTGGATAAACATTGACTTTGCTTTGAGTTTGCATTTAATGTTAAACAGATGGTTTATTTAATCTATAATATTAAAACGAAACAGTGTTTTTTTATTTCACGATTCTGAATCAACCACTCGACGGATTTTCATGATTTTTGTGTTGCAAGAAAGATAATTTTGAGAACTAGGGAATGTCGAAGCCATAATTTTAGTTTAGGGTCCCAGTTTTTTAGAAATTAAGTTTTAATTTTTTTAAAGTCTAGCAGCCGACGCTAAGATTCTAAACTAGCTTTTGGCATAAAATAATTTGCTTAACATAACAGCTATAAACATTCAGCTTTTGTGTCACAAATTCAGCATTTGAAAAAAATGTTAAGACATATTCAGGGTTGACTTATTTATACTATGTGTAATGCTAATCATTGATACGCTCAATTCTTCTTTAAGAGGATGACCTTTCTGTCATGACAGTAAGTGGTAAAAAAATGGTGATCACTCTTTGTGAAATTTGTTTTACAGTTAAGGTGTAGTGTTATTAAAAAAATTCCCACTTAAGGCCAATCAAGTGGGCCACGGTCCGTAATATCGTACAAAAGGTAACATGCTACTGCAAAACATCTGTCAAGATATAGGTCAGGCCCGTTTTTGACCATGTCAGCGCCCTAGGCACAACTAATAGTAGCGCCCCTTTGCAATATATAACAGGGTGACCACCAACCGGGAAATCCGGGAATTAAGCGTGAATTTTTTTGAATCAGGAATTATATGTGAATTTTCTATTTCGACCTGGAATTGTCAATTTACAACAGTGACGTTTCCGTGACCACGGGAGACGGGAGGCTATAATATGTCTCCACAAGGCCTCGAGGGATGATCAGAACTTTGCCGCGATCGCATGAGATGACAATAATATCCAAACAACCGCGGGATATGATCATGATTTTACCGCGATCGCGCAATACGTTAATGAGATCCACAGAGCCGTGAAGGATAATCTGAATATTGCCGCGATCGCATGAGACGATGATAATGTCTAAACGACCATGGGATATGATCATGATTTTACCGCGATCGCGCAATACGATAATGAGATCCACAGAGCCGTGAAGGATAATCAGAATATTTCCGCGATCGCATGAGACGATGATAATGTCTAAACGACCATGGGATATGATCATGATTTTACCGCGATTGCGCGAGACTATGATAATGACTAAACGACCGCGGGATATGATCATGGTCCACACAACCACGGAAAACAGTCAGAAATTTGCCACGATCGCGGAAGACGATAATGATATCCACATAACTGCGGGATATTATTAACATTTTGCCGTAATCGCGGGAGACAATTACGATGTCTTCACGACAGCGGGAGACGATTACGATGTCTTCCCGACCGCGGGAGACGATTACGATGTCTTCACGATCGCGTGGAGACGATTACGATGTCTTCACGATCGCGGGAGACGATTACGATGTCTTCACGATCGCGGGAGACGATTACGATGTCTTCACGACCGAGGGAGACAATTATATGATGGCTTCACGACAGCGGGGGACGATTGCGATGTCTACAGGATCGCTTGAGTTACAACAATGATGTCTACTCTACACGGCTGCGAGGGATGATCAGAATTTTACCGCAATCGCGTAAGACGATGATAATGTCCACTCAACCACGGGAAAGATCAGAATTTTGCCTCATTCGTGAAAGACGACGATGATCTCCAAACAACCGCGGGAGATGATTACCATTTGCCGCAATGGCGGGAGAGGATGACAATGCCTCACGACCACGGGAGGCGATGATGTCTTCACGGC